GATCTCGTAGACTTTGTATGGAACAATTTCGATTTAATGTAATATTTGATGTTTTTTTTATCCTGAATGGAGAATATTAAGCCAGTTTAATAAGAAGTGTAACATCCCGAAGGAAGCATTGGAATTCTTATAAAATATATAAATAAATGATCAGCGTGACGAGCTGACTCGATTAAGGGAGCTGTCTGCCAGTCTGTCTGTGTGTATAAACGCGAACTAGTCCTTAGTTTCTTTTGGAGATATCGATCTGTAATTTTGAAGAAGACCGTTCATTTGCAACTGAACAAAATCTAGTCATTGTTGTGAATGGCGACGGTGCAATTTTCGACAAATGTTTTCCCATGCTCTCTAAAATCGGCTTAAAAAATAAAATCGGGCTATAACCACACCCATATCTAATGTAATGCACTCCTGAAAGTCAACAGCATTTCACTATATATTAACTATACATACCACAACGATCTACGAATATATCGAATGCAAATTTAATTTAGAAGTATTGCGAATATTGTACTTGGTAACTCTCCTTGAGAAATATACAGGGTTTGTACGGAAAGTAAAACGACTGTGTCGATTTAAAAATATTTTTTATTTTTTTTATTTTATTAAAGCTTACATAATAAACAAATTATTAAATAAACTAAAGTAAGTTAAAAATATATATTGAACCAATCGTTAAAATTCTTTAAAAATTTTCAAAATAGTCTCCCTCTGCGTCTATGCAGCGCTGTCAACACGATTTCCAAGCATTGAAAACGTCACGGAAGGCATTCTTCGGAATAGCCTTGTGAGCCGAGGTGCATGCTGCTTGGATCTCGTCTGTGGTTTGAAAATGCTTGCCTTTCATCGGCCTTTTCATACAAGGAAACAAGAAAACACCACATCTCTACTCTGGGGCGGCTGCGGAAACGTTCGGATGCCGACCTTGATAAGATAGCTGTTCACAAGAGAGGCGGTGTGACCTGCTGCGATGTCTTGTCAGACTATTTGTTTTAGTCATGAACGATATATTTTCATAAATTTAAGATCTGTCGCAAATTTACCCAGTTTCACACAGAATTTAATCGCGTATCTCTGCTCTAACGAATTTTTTCGCGAAAATGCTTGTCTGTTCTGCGCGCACGCTAGGAAGTACAGTCGCGGCGGAAGAAAATTAATCCTATTTTTTCCGGACAAACCCTGTATAACGAAATTTTTAGAACCAAATTAAACATGCTAATTTACTTCATATGATCATTAGTTGTGGCTTCACTTTCGTTATGCCGTAGTTTGAATCAAGTTATTCTTTTATGGAATATTATCTCTAACGATCGTTTTTCAGAAGATTGGACGCTAAAAATTACAAATTTGGAATATAGCTAATTTTTATTTGAGACATGCGTGAAATGCAAAATCATTTCAGATCTTTAATGAGGTTTGACAGATAAGGTGCTGTGAGGTTCACACGTCTTATGCTTTATCTTTGAACTGTATTTACATTTGTATAATTGCATAATAATATTTTCCATTTATTGTATCTATAAATGTTTTAAAATTACTAAACAAAAGTTTCTTGTGGATTATTTGACTCAACTTTGATGGATTGTTTCTATTGTTGGAACTGGTGTACTACTGGAAATATTTTTTTATGAGAAACAAAATAAAAGTTTTGTAACTGGCATCCAAGCAGAAACCAGCGCGGGAAAGTAGTTAGCAGCCTGAAAACCAAAAAGTAAGCAGGAGTGGCGAGTCACAAACGGTACTAAAGCAAAAACAAAATAATGAAAATACTAATAACAAATACTGTGCTGACGAGCGGCTACAACGCAATACCACGTGGTATTTGGCAACGTCGAGGGAACCCAGTATCATCAGAAAAAAGGACAACCCCGGAACGTCTTAAATTTAATTAATTGACATAAAAATAAAAAGTTTAATGCCAGACACTGCTGAAGGATTGATTGAACAACTAAACCAGGTGAGGTTAGATTATGGGCAAACCACCCATCCTTCAAACCCTCCCACCCATAACCCCACTCTAATAACGACAATAGTTCGAGAAGTACTCAAACGAATGAATACGTAGACTATAACTGACTTTACCGAACCCGACCACAGCGTTGCACTGAACGCAAACAATATAAACGAATTAGACAAGATTCCGGATATGGTTAGATGCCTTAGAGAATTTTCGGGACGACCAGGAGAATTTAACTCCAGACAGAATTTTTAAAGCATATGAGGGAGTCAAGAATATTCCTAAGTAAATTACTGGCGATGCCAACCAGCGTTTGAAAAACACAGCAGAGCCACATCATAATATGTAAAAGTACGTGCTCTGCTCTGCTCCGGGTTTTGTTAGGTAAAAAACTATAGCTGAAGCGAGATGATATCAATATCATCGGCATATGCCAGCAGCTATAGACTCTTATAAAAGATGGTACCTTCTCTATTTAGTGTTGCAGCTCGAACTATTTTCTTGAGAAGCAGGTTGAAGAAGCCGCACGGTAGGTAGTCGCCTTGTCTTGTTTGGTATCGAACATCTCGGAGAAGTCCTTCCCGATTCTGATGGAGCTTTTGGTGTTGCTCAACATCAGTTTACACAGCCGTATTAGTTTTGCGGGGATACCWAATTCTGACATCGCAGTATAAGGGCAGCTCCTTTTCGTGCTGTCGAAAGTAGCTTTGAAATCGACGAAGAGGTGGTGTGTGTCGATTCTCCTTTCACGGGTCTTTTCCAAGATTTGTCGCATGGTGAATATGGTTATTGATTTGCCAGGTCTAAAGCCACAATCAGTTTGCTTTGCGGTGGGCTTTAAGCTTTCACACAATACGCTCGATAGAACCTTATATGCGATGTTGAGGAGCCTAATTCCAGGTTATTGGCGCAGATTGTGGGGTCTCCTTTTTTATGGATAGGGCATGCTTTCGTCCGACCATATTTTACAAAGAAGCTGATGCATGCTCCTTATCAGTTCTTCGCCGCCGTGTTTGAATAGCTTTTGTTTTTCAGGCGGGTAATTGCTATTCGAACTTCTTCATGGTCGGGCAATAGAACGTCTGCTCCATCGTCATCGATTGGGGAATCGCCATTCAGCAGGCTGGAGAAGTGTTCCCTCCATAATTTAAGTATGTTCTGGGCATCGGTGACTAGATCACCTTTGGGAGTTCTACAAGAGTATGCTCCGGTCTTGAAACTTTTTGTAAGCCGCCGAATTTTTTCGTAGAATTTTCGAGCATTACCCCTGTCAGCCAGCTTATCAAGCTCTTCGTACTCATGCATTTCGGCCTCTTTCTTTTCTGTCTGTAAATGCGTTTCGCTTCCCTCTTAAACTCTCGATACCTATCCCATCCCGCACGTATGGTGGTTGATCGTAATGTTGCGAGTTAGGCAGTCTGGTTTCTCTCCGCTGCGACTCCTCGTCGTACCAGCTGTTCTTCTGCACTTTCCGAAAACCAATGGTTTCAGTTTCACTACATAAGGAGTTTGAAATGCCGTCCCACAGTTCCCTTATACTGAGTTGTTGTTGGCACAGATGTTTTGTGTGAAATTTAAAATGAAAAGTCTTACTATTTTTTGCCTACAGTTTGTTAAGGGTACACTAGCTTCGGTACAAGCAAAGTCATCGTTTCTATATAAGGAGAATGCATAACAACGTTCAATAAACTTTCGGAACTTCTAGAGCTCTCCCCTATTGGGAAAACTGGCCCGTTATGGACGATCGATTCCCTCAATCAGTTCAATTTTCAACAGTGTGGGTTCGAATGAAGATATCTCTTTTCTAATTCCATCAGGCACATAACAAATCTTTCTCACCGCGGTTCGACAATTTTCGCTTGACGTTCTCTAAACCAACACATTTCAGAAATGGTTAGATTATGATGCGATTTATCAGCGATACGCATATGGAAACACCTTACATAGCTTATTTTTGTATATAACTTAATGTGAATGGTTATAAACGATTTTTGGTGCAATATTTAGGTGCATAAATACAATCGAAGTCGAACGTATTCTCCGAGTCACTATTCCGTGGCCTCGGGCCTCAATCGAATAGCAGAAACAGTCAAAAACGCAGAATCGTGGGTCGTGTCAGCTGATTCGACCTATCTTATGGGCGCGCAATGTAAGTGCCCAGTGAAAAACGCTACTCCCTTCTCTCTTTGACGTCGGATGACGTGAGAAACTATAGCATTTTGGTTTTTGCCGTCTAAACGTGTCAGCTGATTGCTCTCTCACAACCCAGGGYTGYCAATATCTATATMCTGTAGTRATTATCAACTTTTATARTTCAATCTGTTCAATATGTTTGAAATTTTCTTAAAATAACTCAAAATTGGAGTCGAATGCTATTATTTATAAATATATAAACTATTTTTAATAGTTTGTTTTCAGTTTTGATATTTTATATTATAAAAAATTGTAATTGAAAACATAGATGTGTACAAAACTATATACTTATGCGTATTGAGCAATGGCAACATTGTGCAAATGAAAACAAACAAAGATGGCTGATTTCTGCGTTTTTGCCACGTTTTTCACCGGGCACACATTTTGCCGATGAGGAAGGAAAAGGGAGGAAGGCAGTAGCGTTTTTGACTGTTCCTGCTAGAATGCTTGCTGAAAAGAAATTTAGCTACGATGAAGAGGAATCGCCAATAGCAATAGACCTTCTTCTGTAAATTATATGAAGATGGCAGATCGCAGACATTCTCATTATTTTACCAATTTGTCAACTCATCCCAACCAATGGGATTATAAAAGAAACATTTTGATTTTAGTTTTATATTTTTAATTGGTTGTTTTATTTTTTTCCACAGATCTTTATATCAATCGATTGATTAACATATTAAATTAATGGATAATAGAAAGAAAGTTTCACATACATTAAAAATTACGTAATAAAAAATATTTAAATATACGTACAATAAAACATACTACAAATTAAACACTTTTGCAATATCTCAATTCATTTCTCCCTAACACTTTGAGTGTATGTGTGTCTGTGTGAGTGTGAGTATTTGTCGAAATTATTTGATATCATGTGTGGAATCGATTGGTTCCGGCTTCTTCTTGTATCTCTTCGTGTATTTCTTTGTGTGTACATATTTTGTTCGGCTTTTACGTAACTTTAAAATTAACACAGCAACGACCTTGAGCGCCAAATACTTATGTGCGGCCCGTATAGATGTGTAAACGGTTACCAATAATCACTTGACAGCTCGAAGGTAGGTCAAATAATAAAATTCTTGCATAATTAGAGCAAACATATGGTTAAAAAGGCAGTGAAAACAAAGAAAGAAAACTTAAAACGAAATCGAAGACAAAAATACAAAATAGAAAGTGGCATTTTTTTAAACTTAATATAATCTTCATTTTATTTTTTAATGTTTAGCTTAGTTATCTGCGTGTGGCCATTAACAGTAAAAATATTTACAAATGATAAGGAGCAAATTTATAGATAAGGTAAGAGTAAGGAAAAGAAAATTATAACACAGCAAATTCGATAGTCAAAAATATGAAGAAGAAGAAGAGAAGTGTAAAATAAGAAGAATAATCTTAAAAACATAAACAGTGAGCTAGGGCACAAACCTTAAGTCAGAAGACTTAAAATGAGTTAAAACAAAAATAAAGTTCTGGTTGTGCAATTACAGGTGAGCGCGTTTGACTTAGAAGAAACCATCACCGGTGGGGTCATTCACCCATGGGTAGTTGTTCGGGCAGCGCACGCAGGTCTGCAAGTTGATGGTCTCGCCGGGAATTTCCTTGGAGGTCAATTTGCAAGTGTTGGGCACCCAGCAGGCTGGTTTGCCTTCGACCACACACTTCTCCCGCCATGGCTCGAAGTTCTTGGCTTCGCTGATAGTTCGGGGATTCTGCATCCACTGGATGACTTGTGTCATTGTGACGAAGTAGACATCATTGTGATTGGCCAAGATCTCATCTATCCAGTAGAGGAAGGCATCCAAGAATTCGGGATTGTTCTTCAGCCATGCCGCATGGAAGTAGAGACCCAATGGTGCACGATTTTGATCGTAATGACGATCGAAATTGTGATTGAGGAAGTTGTAGAATTGATCACCGGTCAAAATGTTCGAGCACGAATCAACCATAGCGCAACCAGGTAGATATTCATCATTGGCCGGATCCTCACGACGATCTAATTCGTTCATGACCATTTCCCACACGGCATGCGAACGTGTTGGGCAGCTCTGCAGATTGCCGTGGCAACGGTGTGGCATGCGGAAATACATAGTGTATGGCCACAGTGGTGGATTCGACAAGGGTGCAGTGATTGTGGAGTCGTAGAGGAAAGCTTGTTCTTCCATCATGGTGAACTGATTGTTGCCGCCAACACGCAAGTAGGGGGCGCGTACACCTACCACTGAGTTATCGGTGATGTTGGCGTATTTCTCGATGATGATACGCATGCCAGCCATTTCCTTGGCCCAATCGTCGACGGTGGCGTTCGACCAAAAACGCTCCTCATCGTTGTGACTGTGTACAAGAAGACAGTGGGAAGAAAGGATGTGAGGGAAAAACATTTTATTGGACATGCATTTTAGATATGGCGATTTTAATAATAATGAATTTGGATTAAATTGTAAGATAAAAGCGTTAAAGTCTTCACTTACGTAATAGAGTGCACAGCAATTTCGTGTCCCTTGCGCGCTGTTTCCTGCACCGCTGAGTAGTTGGTGTACTTGTGTGAGATGAAGTAGGTGGCCTTAATGTCACAACCGTTAGGGTTCTTGCGTCCCTTGAAGATTTCCTTGTACAAATCAATATTGTTGTTATTGATGGCATCATCGAAGGTAATGGTGATCATCATAGGTACATCCTTGGCTGGCAAATCGCCGGGTATCGAAGTTCCATCCTCAGAGCAGAAACAATCGGGCAACACACACACAGTGGGGTCGCAGGGTGGAGCGCGATTGGGATCATTGTCGATATCTGCAAGGCAATAAAGTAAGGGGATAAGGAAAATTATGCATTGTAATTAATCAAGAGGTTTGCGGAAAATAGTTTGGGGAAAGAAAAAGGATATGTTTAAAAGTATGCAAACATTGAAAATTTTATAAAACTATTTTAATATTATTGAAAGCGAAGGCTTTCTAGGGATACTTAGTGTATATGAAATTTTTCTTCACTAGTATCAGATGCTTATAACAGTTACCTAAAAGCGTTTTAGCGCTTTCATATCGTCTACTGCATTTATGACATGTGTTTTGCTGAAGAACTTATGCTTTACAGTTACGAGAATTGACCTCGATCGGGATTTGAAATTGGGCTTAGAAAAATTGAAAACGGAAGGAACTAAAATCTTTCCATGGGACAGTTCATTGAAAGTAACAATGGAGTTTTACATGAAATATTTCGAAGTGCAGTTGAAGTGGGAAGCTGAGAAAGGTTAAAATACTTAGAGGTGGGGCATTATATACCCCATACCTTAAGTACTTGATAGAAACGGTATTCCCGCTCTGGATTTTTTAATTACCACTTGACGCCTTAAGTGGCGTGTAAAATATTTGTTAATTTTTTACTGCTAACGGTTTATTATAACGGTACTGAGTACATTTGAATATTTTTCTTGTTTCAATACCGTTATTGCTATTTTGAAATTTCCGGTGGTGATTCATCAATCGTTTGTTGGCTGCGCTAATTGCTTTGGCCACCGTTAATGCATTCACCTATAACACCAAAGAGTCGGCGCGGCGACCGAATGCAAGAGTTCAACGTCCAACTTTTTCCTAATGCAATTGGATTTATTGTTTATTATTGTTTTGTTGGTGTACATTATTTGTGTAATATTAACAGTTGAAGAAATAGCGGTATCATTGCGGTAGACTTATGTCAATGAACTTAACGGTTTGAAAGTGGAAATTCGTTAACGCATATCAGTTATTCAAACAGCGCCACTAACATAATTTATACAAACAGCATGAAAACGAAATAAATAATTAAAAATATATTTGGTATGCGAATATACACGCATGCCACACAGAAAAGTGTTAAAAACAATTGAAAATAGTACCGTTATTGTTTTTATTGCGCCAATTGTAGCCAGCTATAACACGCTCCGCGTGCTGACGCCTCTGCGGTCAGTGGCCATGTGCGGCTGGGGCCCAGGCTTAGACTAGCTTTTGGCATGTGAATTACTGAAAATGTTGGCGACTATGTTGGTGGATCATCAGCGACGGCCACGCCGCTAAAGCATTCAAATATGTGCAGGCATGCAAATCACTGAATATTAATATGTGTGTATTATGGATGTGTATACATGTGGACGTATGTGTTGTCACGCATGAGTATGGCTATTTAAGCGTGTGTGCAACACATTTCTCAATTAAAGAAAGGCTTGTGCGTCGAATAGTTTTAGGCAAGTGCGGCTAAAGCGCTGGGTGGCACACTATCCTCATATAAAAGAACATACATATGTACATACTCATGCGTTGGCAGTGGTACCGAGCGGCACGTGTGTCGAAATTTTAACTTCAAACACTTGGAAAAGCGGCAGTTAAGCAAATGTAGAAAATCGCTGAACCACTAAATATTTACATACAGATATACGTACATATGTATATACATACGTAAATGCAAATATTCATTCGTTCATATACACTTAAAATTGTAAGGGAATCACTTGGCGCATAGCAAGCGTTTTCTGAAATTTCAGCATGAAAGCCTCGGCATACGCCTTCAGTCCACGCAGTCTTCACCTTGTGCATTGCTGATATGTGTTTTTCAATTGTTGTGCATTTTTAAATATTTGACGGATGGACTTTAATGGCAACTTTTAATTTGCAAATCGCATTCCTTTGCTAAGTTTTATTTGCTCGCGCGGCATTTTCACGTGACAGATTGTGTGCTATATTATCGCTAAACAACAAACTGCGGAGAGTTAAAAAAAAAATATTTGTTTAAAGAGTCATTCATTGAAATGAAAGCTGCGTTATCGAAGTATTGCAAAAATAACTGTTTAAATATGGCTGAAGTGAAATATATTGTCACAGTTGAATTTTGATGAATGGGTGGCCACTCGTTTCTCGTTAGGGCTTATGCATGACCAAACTATAAACAAAGGTGTGCGAATTCATGATAAAACAAGTAAGGAAGGGCTAAGTTCGGGTGTCACCGAACATTTTATACTCTCGCATGATAAAGTGATAATCGAGATTTCAGGCGTGGTTGTGAATTTCACCCAAATTTGGTACATGTTATTAGGGTGTAGAAAATATTATGTACCGAATTTCATTGAAATCGGTCGAGTACTTCCTGAGATATGGTTTTTGGTCCATAAGTGGGCGATGAACTGTATATGGAAATGCCTAAAAGAAACGACTCTATACAGTTTGGTTGACATAGCTATAGTAGTTTTCGAGATATGTACAAAAAAGTTAGTAGGGGGCGGGGCCACGCCCACTTTTCCAAAAAATTTCCTCCAAATATGCCCCTCCCTAATGCGATCCTTTATGTCAAGTTTGATTTTAATATCTTTATTTATGGCTTAGTTATGACAGAAAATACGTTTCATCATGATATCTCAATTTTTACTCAAGTTATAGCTTGCACGGTCGGACGGGCAGACGGGCAGACGGACAGATGGACGGACGGACAGACAAACAACCGGATTAAAACTCTACTCGTTACCCTAATCACTTTGGTATATATAACCCTATATCTGACTCTTTTAGTTTTAGGACTTACAAACAACCGTTATGTGAACAAAACTATAATACTCTCTTTAGCAACTTTGTTGCGAGAGTATAATGAATGCAGTTACTCGCAAGAACACTAGTGGCTAATAATTATTTTCCCATAGACTTCATGGACATAGTCATAGCGTTTGGTCGAATAGACGTAACTATTGGAATTTTGGATATAATAACGTAAATATTTTCCACTATGTACTCTCCGTATGCTAAAATTTAAGGCGTGGGAACGTAAATGTAATGTATAGCCTGTACTGGTAGAAAATAGATGTATCTAATTATATGTTTAGGGGGTAGAATAAACAATTTGAGACTGATATGGTAAATAATGTTCGAGTTATAGCTGTATTAAAAGCATGTGCACGTTCAACAATGAGATTTGCATAAATGTTAAAAGCATTGATCTTTAAAAATTGAAGGACGCCTATGATTAGTTTGAGCAAGGATGTTCTTGAGATAAGGGAATCTCTTTGGAAACACATTTCTTACAGTGAATATGTGAATATCTGATTGAGGCCGATACAAAGTGCTTAAAGATAGAAAGATATATTATATTTGTAGAACGGATAATTTTGTATTTGCATGTTATTTTTTCAAAGCCTCCATAAATCAAAATATCAAAAATCTCTTGCTATATTAATTTATATTTATGTAATTATGTATAATTACTTAATGTAGGGATGATAACTCTTGAGGAGTGGCAGCACTTGAAATAGTTTCTATGCAACTTCACTTTTTAAATACTAACCTCTATGAATGGTGCATGAGGTTGCAAGAAATTGTCAACAGTTTTTGCATGAAATATTCGCTGCAATCCTTTCAATCACACTGTTATTTAATAACTGCAGGTATGGCTCTTCCTTATTTTGCTTAATTTTTACGATTGTTTTTTCAAATTTTCAATACAATTTCCACTATACCTCTCTTTTGCTCTTGTGCGGCTCGTTTACATATGGGGAGTATTTGTTATATAAGCGAAGGTATTATTTGTTCATTGCCGAAGGGTACTAAAACTTTTTATAACCATTTATGTTGATTTCTGCCAATTTTTTGTGTCTTTGTGTTTTGTGTATTTGTTTTTACATTTGTACGCTTATCTTTAACTCTTCTGAAAAAAGAAGTCATGAAGTAAGGTTCCTTTGTTTTTCAATTTCTTTTTTATGTTTTGTTTCATTTTAGCTGAAACATGCCAAAAACTGAAATTGCTTACATTTCGGTTATGTCATCGAACCGGTTCCTGCAGGTTACCGCAGCTGTAGGCGATTGTGTTGCTATTTGTTGCCCACATATAAGTTTATATAGTACTTTTGGAATGTAAATATATTTGAGTCTGATTGTGAGACGGAATATACCCATCCCTATACATATATACATATATATCTATGTATATGAGTGAATGAATTTATATATGACTGCAGTTACATATGTACTGTATCCCTACGAATTTCAGCGTCTTGTTACTTCTCCTTAGAATATGCAAATATGTAAGTGTTGGTTGAGTCTTGTTTTCGAACATATGATTAATTGTCTGTATTGTGTACAAAACTGTATAATATTCAGTCAATGCAAATGACCTTTGTTTAAATGAATTAAACTAATGGGATACACAATTTTGGAAAGGCGGACGCTTCTCAGGTATTTTTATGGGTACTTGAGAACCGCGTTACTAAATTTATTCAGTTGGTTATTTATAGGTAGGGATATTGCCTACCTGCGTTTGAAATTTTAATAACTTTGTTAGTATTCGAAATTTATTTGCAAATAAAATTACTAAATTTATTGAGTACGGGTTTTTCGTGTTTTCCTTTTGCTGTTTTAGTTCAAAAATTTTTATTGGTGAATAAGCACAAACTACAAATATTTTTAAAAATCAATACTTTTGAGATACTAACACAAAGTTGCTAAAAACTATTCCAAAAGAATAAGTCATTAGAAATACATCTTACTCTCATTAAACATTTGTACAACTTTGTATTTGTTTCAATTTTATATTATTTCTTTATTATCGGAGTGTTTTTTCTTCCTATGTCCATGGTAGAATCATTAAAATCATATCTCGATGTCGTGACTAATTAATACTTCTGCACCTAATTGGCGGTTCTCACATTTTCTGCTCATCAACTTGAAACTAATTTCAGTTTGCTCAAATTTTATGGTTTTTACTTCTTTTTTTATTGTTTTTTGATAATTATCAAAAGTTTTTTCGTAATCGAATGTTGCAAATTCAACCGCATTCAAATTATACTTTCATCAGCTCGTTGAAAGGTTTTTCTGTTGATTTTTTTATGTTTTGGTTTTGCCACACTTTTAATACTTGGCAGTTTCTTTTTTAGAGGCACATTTGCGGTAAATTTGTGTGCCGGCACCAAAATAGATTGTTATCGTCTGTCTGCCAAAGCTTTGTATAATGTACAACAGCTTAACTTAGCCGAGCAAAGTGCAACGGTATTGAGGTTGCAAGTTGAGTTCGTGTTTATTTTTAAACACAAAAACATAACATTGTGTCAAAATATCGAAATATCCAGCAGTAGGAGAAGAAGAAGCAGCAGTTGAATACCAAAACTCTTGGCAAGAAAGAAAAAAGTCATCGAATTTTTGCTACAATCTTGAAACCGGTATTTATAATATTTTGAATATACTTGAGTAAAAAATGTTGTATGTGTTTGCTGTCGTTGTTGTTATGGCTGTGGCACATACTGTTCAAGCTGAGAGCATGCGCGGCTAAAATTGGTACCGCACTGACAAAGCGGTAAAGAAAGGAAAAAAAAAACGATATTTAATTATTTACAACAACAACAATTCTATGTTTAAAACTGTGTAAGTTTTCTTTTATACGCAACTCAAAAGCTTCTATATACATATATATACTTGTTCTCATTTATCCTCATATCTGTAAAATGCGCATAGCTGAATTTGATGTGCCTTAAGCCGTGGTAGAGCTTAACAGATTACATTTTTTGAGCTTCCTATACGAGTATATCTTTATATATAAAAAGCACGTGTCAAGTTGTTTGTTCGCGATGAAATCCTAATCAGCTGAACCGATTTTGCACACTGTGTCCAGTTCGAAACAACTTAGAAGATGGGATAGCATAAACAATTCATAAATAAACAGTGAAATCTCTATTAAATTAACTCTCAATTAAGCGGACCTCTCCATTAACCATGAACATGTTTATTAAGGACTAATCTAAGGTAATCAGACATTGAGAAATCAGTCTTAAATTCGTGTTTTTTCCAATGAAATTTATTTGGATGATTATTATATATATATATATATAGTATATATATTATATATATTAGTATATACTTATATATATACATATGTAAAAACTGCGAACCCGCTCGTAATTCGGAAAGAGTGCGCGGGCTTCCCCAATTATCAGTAAACACCAGCCTACGCGTTATATACATATGTATGTATACTATATTTCAGTGCTACCGTGGTACAGATTAGCATTGAGTAATTACGGTTTCTAATTTGAAACTATTTCTGATTTTCTGATTCAAATATGGGCATGATTTGTTACTTTTAATCCAGGGATAAGTTTTTTATAATTTGTAATGATATTTTGTTATATAGTCTAATTACTGGAGATTATATTAAATTTGAGTAGTACTCACCGCAAGTGTTTTCATCGGAACCGTCTGAGCAATCTTTCTCGCCGTTACAGAAGAGACCGCGCTCAATGCAATTGCCATCACCACAAGCCAAAAAACCATCCTGACAGAGTGGCTCGTCGGTGTGTAGCAGAGGTTTGACACGTCTCTCCTTGTTCTTCGATTTACAATTTTTTACGGACTCTTTCCAGTCACAAGTCTGCTTCTCAATGTCGAAGTACAGACCAGCCGGACAACGGATGGCTTGCAGACCCTGTGTGCATAAAAGAGAGAGATAAAGGGAAAAATAATAAGAGATTTATAAGAAAACATTTTACGATTATTTAAGTAATAAATAGGTATTTTAAAGGAAACGAAAAGTTAATCGAGTTATAGTAGGTACAACCTTGTTGATCAGAGCCCAGAGTGACAATGGTCAATATAAGAAAAGAAAATGAAATAAATAATAAAACATAGAGCTTTTTTCTTATTTGTTTTTCTTTTTCATTATTTGTTTTTATTTGAGTCCAGGTAGTATTGAAAGTACTTGAAATTAGCTGCGGTTTCCCAAAAATACAAAAGTTCAACAAATACAGCATTTGTGAGAAGCAAAGCTCCTCTAAAATATTGGAAGATTATAAATGACTCTATAAGCTTTTTTGTTGAAAAGAGTGAACTAAAGAGAATTTTCAAGGATTCGTGATGTTGGACGTATTTTTGTTCTCAACTTCATTTCAACATTGTTATATGTCGAATCCAGAATAACATGTAAAGAAATATATTTTTCAGTACTAGAGAATAATAAAATTCTATAAAATTCAACGAAAGAGTATTGATGTTCTGTGTCAGCTTAATAGCTATATAAATTTCTCAAATATCGGTTGACTATTTCTCCGATGTTTTTGGGTGATTGATATTAATCAGTTTTCTTGTGATCAAGTAATCAATTCTACGCAAAATAGATTGTGACAAAGTACTATCTTTTAGCACTGACGCACAAATACTCACATCTTTCCAAGAATTCTGGACAATTAAATTTCATATATTCTATTTTCATTCTTCGTCTTCTTCGTTAATTCCTTATCACTTATAAGCGGGTTTTAACTTACCGACGATGTGCACTGAATGACATCACGACAGTTATCGCCTTCTCCAGCGACTAAACGGAACCATTCGCCAGCATCTTTATCTTTGCAGAGTTCCTTTTCGAAGGATTCCTCTTTTTTGGGCTCCTCTGTGGCCGCTTGACGTCTCACACGATCGGCAGAAGCTGAAATGTAAAAACGCAAATTTATAAAAAATGTTAATTAATTCATAAACTATGAGTGAATTATGCATTTAATTATTCATATTTATAAATTACTTATTTGCATTCATGCAAAACGAGCTAATTTGAGCAGCAATAATGCTTCATCGACTATTTTAAGCATATTTTTATAAATATTAATAAGCGAAATCAATTATAATGATATTATTTAAACGGTGCCGTAAAAAGCGGCAATAGTAACCATCTACTGCAGTTCATCAAGTAGTGACAAGTGAGAAATTGAAAAAATTCTTGACTGTAAGTCTGTAAACATTGTATATTGACACCCTAAAAGTTGTCTCAAAACCTATATATTTACACTTTGACTTACAGCTCCGAGATTCTTACCTAATTTAAGCTTAAATGACTGGACTATTAGGCTGATTGACGGCGTATGTAGGAACAACAAACCGAAAGAAGTTAGGCCACGAAGCACTTTTGATAACAATTCGATTTGCATAACACCGCCAGGCATCTATAAGTAACCAATTGCGGCAGGCGCACGAAAAGTGGGTTTCAAGTGAACGCCATGATTAAATCTTCCTGCTTGACATATGTCAAATGCTTGAGCATAAATAAGGCCCAAAATAAAAGTGCATATATATGCTACTGATTTGCTTTTGGCAACACGTGTGCGCTCGGCAACACCGTTTTGAGCGCTCGTCGCGGCCATTAATGCCAACCGCACCTAAGGCACTTGTTGTTGGCCGTCCAAAATACAGACTGGTGTAGCCGGTTGTTTTGATAACTGTTGATCGTTTGACTGATTGCTGATGGTTAACTGCTATTGTTACTTAACTTAAATAGAACAAGGTACGACTTGGCACCGATTTAAGTGACAATTATAAAGGTTTAACCACCCAACAACAAACTGAATGGCCAACGGCAATGGACAAATTGAGGCGGAGTGAAACAAGGTACTGGTTTTTATAGTAACAACAGCTTGTAACACTGGTTAATGAGTTTGATCAATTACAAAGTGTAGTGGGAAGCCGAAGCTGTGGCTTGCGCATGAAAGAGTTATGTGAAAGCGAAAGTGTACTAGAAAGAGAAGGAGATATTGTTGGTTCTTCAATATTCTTAGATCTCAAGGCAGTTTGGGGTTGGTGTAAGACAAGGTTTTTTAAACAAAGCATTGCTGTTAACTAATCAACGTGCCACAAAAGTATTTCGATAATCTTTAATGATTCTGTAATAAAAGCTAATACTTTGAAGACTCTTCTCTGTTCGGTGCTCCTAAACATCTTTACTTACATGCGGTTGGAGAAAATTTTTCTTAGAACCAGATAAAGAAGAGTCTCTACCAGCGCATGGCACCCTCCGGTTTGTAGGGCTTATATTTTTACAAATGATTAGCAGACAGATTTAGTGAAAAAGACTGTTGGGCTTGGAATTTACCTCTCAATCCCTCCCTTTTCTCAAAAAATGTACATGGGTACAAAAAAATGTACAAGTGTACATTATTTAGTTTTAGTTTTAATCACTAGATTATTGGCGTAAGGCATTAAAGTAGCGTTTGCTCTTTATACTTTACCTCTTGCTTTTTCGATTCGACAAATAGCATTCGATAAGTTAAGGCTGCCTTTAACTTTCCGTGTAGGCTGCCTTAGACGTGAAAATATTTAGATAATATGAAAACAAATAGGAAGTTAGAAATATTAGGATAAAGGTATAGGAAAACAATTTTGCAAGCGCTTAAAAATTTCACTGTGTTTTTCTTGTTGTTGAATTTTCGAGGTCAGCCCATTTTATAAAGAGATAAAATAGGACAACTAAAGTGTTTAGAACGAAGAAGAGTGCGAAACTATATTCTAAATATAATCGGTTTCGTCTTAATTAATGTTTGCATTGTATTCATTAAACAATATTTAAAAGTTAAATTAAATTCTTTTTATGAAAATTATCGTCTTCGTTTACAAGCCATTCCACCGGTTCATCGAGAGGAATTTCTATTTGAAAACTGGTTTAATATTAGCCGCAACTAAATACCAGCTGCACTATTGCAAATTTGTTTATTGCAATTTATAGAAACACACTCTCTTTGTCACATAAATATAAAAGTTGTTTCACTGCAACACCAAAACGACCTTTCACAAATGCAAAAACAAAAAAAAAAAAAAAAAAAAAAAAAAAAAAAAAAAAAAAAAAAAAAAAAAAAAAAAAAAAAAAAAAAAAAAAAAAAAAAAAAAACATACACACGCAAAACACGACAAACAAAAGCAAAACTCAATAATTTTAATCAGTGGAGTTGTCAAGGTTGACTAGAGCAACGAAATAATATATAAGCGATGCTATGTGTCAGGCTTATTAAAAGGGAATGCAGTAAATGAAGAAGGAGAGTGGAAAGTCAAATATGTGCATGAACATGTTTGTTCGTGTGTATGCGTGTGTGGTGAATGTTTACGGTGAGTACATGGTAAAACGAGCAGATGCAACAATTATGAAATGTCTGTATTGCAGTTTACAAACATGCAACCTTTGGCATAATCGCCTGGTTGCAAGGCTACTTTTTGATAAAAATAACCATGGAACGGGATAGTGTAGATTGAATGCAACATTTTGAAACTCGCAGCAACTTAATTACGTTTATTTTGCTGTTAGAAATTAAAAGTAAAATTAGATATAGTTATTAATTAATAATAATTTTTTGTATTTTTGCATGCCATTCGTTTTCATTGCAATCAGTCACTTAAGATTATGTAAGCCACTTTTATAAGTAAGCACTTGGTTTAAATAATTATTTATCTAAGCCATTGAAATACATATATTCGGCGCAGAACAAAATTTCGCAAATTGGTAGACGGTCGCAATATCAAATTCACACTCATGAGCAAAATAATGAAAACGCTTATTAATTCATTGTTCTTGCTATCCTCGAGAATACTATTCGCGCCGATTATAAAATTATATGTTGCGCAAACATATTTACATGAAATTCGTATTCAAATCGAGCTAGCCACTATATTTGACGTGATGAAAACCTCGCATAAACCAATCGTTATTTTTGATATGAACTGTGGATGAGGTGTTAATTTTCTTCCGAGAAAATTCAGCAGGCATTGCAATAAATCTATGTAAATAATTTATTGACATTAGCAAGAGCTTCAACGATTAATCTTTTAACAGCTTGACAAATTAGATGGGTATAGTTTATGGAAGGATAAAATGCCGCATTTCTGACATTAGGCGGTTGTAAGTCTGCTTTGATTGGAATGTTTGATTATTTACTAATAGTTTTAAAAATTTGTAATATAGATGTAGTATAGAAAATAAATAATATATAAATAATAATAAATAAAACAAAAAAGTGTTAAAATGCAGGAAATTTAAAAATTATATTTGATTTAAAGCTATTATCCATTAAATACCATAACATAATCTCATTCATTTAAAGAAAAATCCAGGAAATCGTATCTGAGTTGAAGAAAATGCCCAAACAATAAATTTCTCATAGCTATTAATGGGAAATTATTTTCGTCCACCATTATGAAATCTATTTAATTACCCTGGTGTGTTAGTTCTGAAATCATTGGATGTAAGTTGCTAAAGAAATATGCAATGAAATTGAGCTAAGATTTTGTTGTTGTCAAAACTAGTTTCTTGACAAACCCGCCAACTCTTTTGAAATCTGGCAACTATGTCTGCCTGAGTTCACCTGCACTCCGCTAAGTGCACGCGCACCTGAGTAACCAAGTGTTTCCGGTATTTTGCACAGCTATACAAATTGCCCGGCTGTACTTAGACACCTACACATATACTTTCATACATACTATGAATATGTTGCTGCTCCACTACCTAAAACCGCTTATTTTTTGTTGCTTGTAAAAAGTGGGTGAAGTATGACGAATGACGGCACCATAATTCTTGGTTGTGTAGTTAACTGCAACGCATTCAAAGTAAATATGCAGTATAACGGCATATTGTAATGTTATTAATGTTGTTGACTAAATGACATACACATTCGAAATGTGTATAATTATGCCATGCGCAGATCTCTAGCAGTGAAAGTTGGCTTACATAAATTACGCAAGACAATTTGTCCGGGTTCCGACTTGCAATGCGAAATGTGTGCAGAAAAAAAAGAAAGCATTTGCTCTCAATAGCTTTTCAATGCACTGCAAATAATTTTGAATAATTTTGAAACCGAAAATAATTAAAATATTGTGAGAACACAAAATCAGCATTTAATGTCTCTACAAATAACGGTGGATGGGGAGGAGGGAGGATTCTTTTAGAAAACTGGACTTTTATAATATTGAAGCTAAAGTTTCTATATACAATATTAGTATTTTTTTAAAGCTTAAAAGTTCATGAATTTAAAGGTTTTCTATCAAAGTTTGTCATACTCTTTTTGGTTTTAATTTCTGCATAGTATACACAGTTGTCTTGTATAAATTTTATTTCCAGACATAGACGCCAACAAAAATTCTTATTTTCAATTAGGAGTGGATAGATGGTTGCGAAATTTTTTCCAATAAAGTAGAACACGATAAAAGTACTTAACCTAACTTTTTCTACATTGCTTATGCAAAAAAAAAATAAAAGAAATTATAATATTTAAAACACGAAATAAAATTAGAGTAATCAAAAAACTTCTTACAACTAAAAATAAATAAGTTCATTAAATATGAATAAAAAATTCTTTCAAGAAATATGCACTTGTACAAACTATTTACTTAGGTCCTTAAAAAATTTTAAAATATAACTTTGACACATATTTTCATAAATACTTTCAAAATATAGCTTAAGAACTTAATTTTTTTGTAAATCACTCACCTGTCGCAGCTGTAGCTAAAATGGCAAAAACCACAAAGAGTTTTGCCATTGTGTGTTTTGGTTTATTCGATTTTATTTTTATTTACTATCGATGGAGTCTGAAAGACCACCAGCAATCACCGCAGCAACTATCTACGAACGTTATTCACGTTTCAACGTAAGAAATTGCAATAACTCGAAGCATACACAAACTTTCAGTGTTAAATGTTTAAGTGGGGTTCACGACGACGTAGCGAACCTTACTAAAAATAAATATATTTGAGCTTTTTTCTTTATAAGCAGAAGGAGGAGAGATCGTTTCAGTACAAAGCGCACTATAACAAATTTGTCCTACCGATCACTAGCAGAGTTCCACTTACACTGCGCCAGCGCAACACCACAAAGATCGCAGCAACTGTCGCGGACAAGTAAATAAAGCAACGAGCGCCCCTACCGAGCCCGTCCACAACACACACACACATACGAACACAAAACAATCGCGTAACAACGTTTGTACGTACAGACCACTAACGTATGACCAAATATATCTGGTATATGGTTGTCAGCCTTCGGAATCGCTGACTTCTTCTACTTTTATTACAGCAAATGAAATGCAAATGCCAACACAAACTCCACTATTACAAGAACAACACTAACGGAACTTATACAGTTGTAGATTTGACCACAGAGCAGCGAGTCAGCAGTGTTGAATATATTGAACTCGTTTGTTGGTTACTCTCAGTTCTTCACCACATTCGGCAGGGGAAGTGCGAACGCTGCAGTTGCGTTCCACAAATTGTTATGCACTTTCGGATGGTAGTCGTCTATGCAACACTCACGTAAGTGTGCGAGGATATTTCGTAAGTGGATTTTTTAATGCGTGGAAAAAATTATAATTTCAATCGACTTAAAGCAACTTCTAGCAGTAAATATATTCAACGCGTTCGTGGCGAATTTTCTACGAAAATCTTTACATGTCGCGCCGTGTCAGCCTAAGAGAGCGTCTGGCACAACAACACGCTTTTATATTGAAATGATTTTGGCTCCGAGATCCGGCCGGGAGAATACGCGTTGCCGTGTTGAGTTTCTTCTGCCTTTGGTAGTAGTTGTTTGGGCGGGGTAATGCTGGCATTACTCATTTGGAGTTGTTGGGGAAATGTGAAGCGTTGGTGTTGCTGAAGGTTTAGCATATGTGGTGAGTCTCCGACGCAGACGAATATACGCGGTTAAATACGCCAACTATTCAGGTGTGAAACGATTTCAATATATCGTCACCTAAAATGCAAAATAACGTAACAACATTTTCGAAAATTTACAGTGGCGTGAATGAAGCACGAAATAAAATGGAACAAGAGTGAAAAAAAGAAAATTTATATTGGTTAAGACTGGTTGATATATGAGCACAGAACCTGAAAATGTTGGACATATGTTATATTATGTACGTAATTTGAAGTAGTGAATCGTAGTTAGTAAGATACTCAGTTTCGAATTTTTCGATGATACGTTATTTTGCATTTTAGGTAACGATATGTAGATTGGGTATTGGCAATGAGTATTATGTTATACCATATATGTCACGAGCGACGTCAACAACTTTCAGAGTGATTTCAAGAAAAGTTTGTTATTCTGCCGAAAATTGGCATCTACTTCAGCAAAAGAACTCGTGATATGCCATCTCAAGTAGCAACATGAATATTACGGAGCTCTTTGGCGTGCAATTTTCTCGACTTTGTGATTACTGCTTAATTATTTCTTCAAAATTTTGAATAAAATATATAAATTCCCCTGAGTCAATCTCAATAAAACAAGTTATGTACATATACATATACATATAACCTTATGTCATCTTTAAATTTAAATCAATAGTAATCTAACAACTGACTTTAATTAAATGAAACGCTCTATTTTACACTTACATTTTTAATTTTTAATTTATATTTTATTATTATTTGGTTTTCTTTCATTTTTATTTCTGAGTAACTGTTGTGTTGTGTTCAAGTACTGAGTGCTTGTGTACTTGATCCTTTTTGAGAAACTCAACCTTTTAGTTTATCATAGCATATAGGCGTTGGAACCCGTGTGTCATAATAAATAAGGTTTCGTGTTCAGTAATTCTTGCTAAACATGTAGGGAAGGGCTAAGTTCTGGTTTAACCGAACATTTCATACTCTTGCAATTTACAAGGATCAAAGTCGGCTAAATACCGATAGTTATTGACATAAAATGAAACTTGAAAGTATCGCCGTTAAATCATCTATCCTTTCTGATAGATTTATTTAGATTTCAGTTTAAGCAAACCTTTGGTTTGTAAATACTTATTTTAGATATGTGTAGTATATGGAGGCTAGGAGTAAACTTAATATTTCTACGGACGAAATTCCAGTTGGCGTTGACAATGAGGATATAGAGATGAAAGGTGAAACATCAGAAGTTACAGGTAATGAGCAGGTCACCCAATATGTTTGTTAACAGTTACACAATCCGTAATATTAAAAAGGGAATACCGCAACCTCCAATTTTTACTCGAAAAACTGGAATATAATTAACAAGGGGCAATTATGTGGTAATTTAAAGATAATGACAATTTTAGTGAGTCAACAAAGCGGCTTTTATGTACCCCAGTCGAGGCATTATGTACAAAATGAAGGGCAATTTCGGATAGTTTTGACTCCTTGTTCTAAAAATACTTAAAAGAGAGTTTAATAGCAGAAAGGAAAAAAAATCCACCATTAAATCTTAAACTTGTCCTTGTATAAGAATTGATTAAAGCAATGAGAAATAAGGATACAAATAACAGAACTTGAATTTGAAGAAAGAATGACTATGGTGGAAACGGTGTTAAAGAGAAATTACAACAAAATTTCTGGGAAATACTATAGATCTTGATTACGCAACTAAGGTTGACATAACATAAAAGAAAATCATTACGAAGTTCACTAGTCACAGAACTAAAAAACTCATATGAAATTTTACTTATACACTTTTGAACCCAACCTAATGATTAATCAAGCACCCCAAAGGGAAAATATCCTGCTACGTCCAGATCGTTGTTCCTGGTTATGATTCAGTCATAGATACTTGCAAAATAACAAACATCTTGACCATATATTGGAAATTAATTTAGAATATATATTATAAAATTCGTAATCTGCGATCACGAAAACACCTGAATAAGAAGTTTCAAGCGAATTTGCCAAAAATTAAAAAAAGTTCAGTTTGCCACATAAAGGTTAAAAAATCAACGAACTTTTTTAAAATCATTTTATACACTAGGTTTGGTGAAAGGAATCCCTCAACGTTTGTGGACCTGTGTTATCATTAAATAACACTTGAAATATTGCTTGAAGAAGAAGGCTAACTGTGGCAGCCCATCAAGAATCTTCTTAAAGCAAATCAGAACTTCAACAAGAAATGCAAAAATTGGCCGTCGGGATTCCTAAATAATCATCTATATAAAAAACTACAATGAAAGATACCGATTTTAAGAGTAATAATTTACTTCGATTGACTGAATATTAACAAGCTGGAAAGAACACACTCAGGAAATGTTCAGACATTATGAAGAAATCATCATCAACATCTCCAAGAGGAAGAAATTTGATATTAAATAGTTGGATTAATTTCTTCGATGATAAAACTATATATGTATACATACTTCTACTTACATAGACTCTTTGCCAATATATTCGTACTTAACTTATCCGAATTCGCGCAAACCCTCTTAAAAATTTTATGCAAAAACTTTAATCTTATAGGTATTCAGCTTCGTATTAAGTATATTAGATGAAATGAGTCATAGACTTAAAAAAGACAAGAAAATTGCTTCAGAATTATTATTCTGTTTTTGCAAAGTGGCGCCAATTAAGCATTCGAAACGAAACCAGGTCCTTCTCCACTTGATCTTTCCAACAGAGAGAAATTTGCCATGATCAACCATAAACAAAAATTTCTCTCGAAAATTCATAATGTCGACTTATCAGATGTTGGCATCGCTCACGCCTCCGCACCATTTAGTAGGACAAGAGTTGCTTATAGAGTTTGGTTTTTGTTTGTCGAGGGAGGACTTCTCCATTGCCGAAGTAGCACCTGCAGGCAAGAGATATTCTATGTTAGATTTCGAAGTTAACATTTTTTTGCTGGTAATACTGGTTTCAAGATAGACGAAATTATCTACAACTTCGAAGTTAAGACTGGTAATAGACTGTCACTATGCCTGTTTGATGACAGGAGATATTTCGTCTTGCCCTCTTTCACCATCAGATCGATTTGATTCGGTTCCTTATCCATCCAGGAGAAAGTAAAATATAAACAGCTGTGCCAAGGACGGTAATTGTCTGTGTATAAAATGGGAAAATATGCACAGGGAAATCGGTTTGTGAGATTTAATATGTACCCCAAAGTAAATTATATGCAAATGAAATAAATGAAATAAAATAAAAAATAAGCAAATAAATAAAATATGTAAGGAAAATTAGCTAAAACGCCTCCGTATTCGGTTTACCCGAAATTACCCCATCCTTATTTATTAAAATTAATTTTTTAGAAGAATTGGAAGGGAAACCACCAACGCTCCATAAAAGTGACTTATTCTGCAATTGTTGACTCATTCAGGTGGCAGCGTAAAAATACTTAGAAATAAAACAGCTGTGATTATAATATGAGCTTAAGATTTTTAAAATGAATCTCGTCAACCTGTTTACTGTTATTGTAACCACAAATTAATTGTTATTGAGATTTGTTGTACACTATTGTGAATCCAAATCCGGTTCACGATAATTTGGAACCTTTTTCTCCACCATCCACCATCGAAAGCGCTACATTTACCTATGTGGACACCGTCACGAATTGAACGAATTGGCATAATGCGATCGAACGCAAGGGAAGCCAACTAAAATGCAGCCAACAAAAGTGCGTACATGCGCAGATATACACGTACAAATAAACATTGCATTAGCTTTTTTCTTTCGGATTTCGATCGCTCGCCGCTGTGTCACTCCGCTTCACTGCGCCTGCATTGGTGGCAGTGGTGGTCACCTTGGTGTGGCGTTGCAGATGATGTTATTGGCGCAACAATACGCTGCAATATTGCTGCCAGACGCTTAAATGAGCACACTTGTTTCTGCTTCTATGTCTTGCTGTTGTTGTTTCGCTTTTTTCCTTTGTCGTCACCAGTGGCCTTGGACGCTACACTTTTGACACTTTTCGATGACGGCGGCCAGCCAGCTAATCAAAATAATCGAAAACGCATCGAACCGCCAGCCAGCCAGCCAATAAACAGTGATGCTCATGCCTAAACAGTAAGTGGCCAGAGGCGCACAGAGCAAAAGATACGCGCCAGTTATAAAAAGCGACCGTTGTTAATTAAAGCCA